TCTGTTCATTTGACCTAAATGGAGTCATTGCCCCAGTGGAAAGGAGGGTGGCAGCTGGCTGACTGATATTTCCTCCGCGCGCTCCTGCGTTGCACTTTGCATTGACTCAGCAATGCTCTCAAATAAGCAGGATTATTTTTGACCTTGTGATGGAATTTTTATCAGTTTCAGTGCTCTGGGCTGTGTTCTGTATGGAAATTGCACATGTGCAAATGTTCCTTAGCTGCCTCCCAAGATGAGAACTAGAGCCACCAGCCACCTCAAGTGTATCAGTGGATGCAGCCTGGGGAACAAACGGGAGGAAGTGGATCTCCATGCCTAGTCAGAAAGTTATGATACCATAGGAATAACGGAAATAGGGTGGAACAACTGTCACGAGTGGAGGATTGCAATAGATGGTTATAGGCTATTTCATAAAGGCAGGCGGGTAAGAGGAGGAGGAATTGTGCTCTTAAGTTAAAGAGAACCTTGAATGTGTAGAAGTCAACTACAGTGGTTGTGGAAGCCCTATCTAAAGCCTCTCACTCAAGATCAGAGGGGTTGTCTCCAAGGGGGATCTGACAGTGCACATCTGCTACTGACCTCCAAACCAAGACGATAAGGCCCGTGAAGAAATATTTGAGTCACTTAAGCAAGCTTCAAATAAACACAACCTGGTTCTTATGAGTGACTTCAACTACCCAAACATTTATTGGAGGAACAATTCAGCAGCTCACAGGTTATCTATCAAGTGTGTGGAGTGGAATATGCAGAGGACTACTGCCTTAGACATATGTTAGATGTGCCAACCAGGAATGAGACACTGCTGGATTTTCTACACACAAACCAAGAAAACCTGCTTTGCAATATCTCAGTTAGTGATCACAGTATTATGGAGTTTGGGATCCTGCTGAGCGCACTGAAGGTGAATAGTAACACAGAGGTTTTAGATTTTAAAAGGTAAATGTTATCGCCATGTTCCAGTATTTTAAGGGTAGCTACTAAGAAGGTGGAGGTTCCCTTTTTACAAGGAGTCACATGGAAATGATTAGGTGTAACGGGTACAAGTTACTCCTGGGGATATCCCGATTGGACACAAGAGGAACATTTTTCACAATGAAAACAGTAAGACATTAGAATAATCTCCCCAGGGAAGTGGTGGATTCCCCAACATTGCACAATTTAGAGATTCAGCTAGACAGGAAGCTTATCCATCTTGTCTAGACTTTGCTTTTTACAAGAAAGGTTGGACCAGATGATTCTTGAGGTTCCCTCCAACCTGGTATTCTATGCTTCTGTGACTCTATGTGCTGTGGATCTGTGTCTGGGTTTACTTTAGCTGCACAAATGAATTGAAAAAAAACCTGAAACAAACAGCTGAATCACTCTACTGCCTGCCAAACAAGTCAGCCTTCCCAGAATCCAGCAGCAGGTGCTCCCATGCAAAATACTTGCAAGCCATGCCTTGTATACTTTCCATATATAGAATAGCTTATGTGGTGCATGATATTTCACCACCTCAGCATTGGTTGATTGGTCTTTAGAGCCTTTCTGGACTCCCAACTTAAAGTCAGTGCTGCCCAGCTCCAGGGTAATAACTTTGTCTTCCACCAAGTTTTACTCTAAGTCCTCTCTTTAAATATGAGTTGTATTTTTAGCCCTTAGGCATTTTGTTTCCAATCACATCTGTCCAGGCTGGGATTCTTGTCATCATATTTCAATGTAAAAGTGACCTGGCTAAGGAGAGGATGAACTGAAGGTGCCCAAGATGTCACAGTTTCTTTCCATATTTTGGTTGCCCTGAAGTATGGGATGATGACTTTAGAAAATAACATTTGTATGCAGAAATCTAACAGAAGTGTCACAACAACCAGCTGAATAAGTATTCAAAGAAAGACTACCCTATCTCCATCCCTAGGAAGATCCTAAAGGTGGGACCACTCTCCGCAAGCAATAGTTTTCTCTTGCGACTCAAAGGAATTATTTTTGCTTCTTGAAGCAGAGACCTTGTGTGACTTGGAAATGGAGAGCAGCTCATCTCCTTGATAGATTTTAGGCAGGTTTCTCTGTTTTTTGTTATGCAGCGAGTTGTTTAACCAGTTTGTCAGAGAGCAATTTCATGCATAATGCTATCAGCGTTTCACAAACACAATCAGCTAAGCAATTGAGCTCGTCCCAGACGTGATTAAGTGAGATCAATTATAATAAGAACTAGATAAGAGAGGTAAGCTTCTTGTTTCTTGGGTTGGTATTCTGCAGTATTAGCCTTTGAAAGTATCCTTTATACATCATCAGCTGCAAAACCTTGATTACTTCAGGAAATGGCTTCTAGATCAGCATTCAAATGAACTTCATCCTAAACTGATTATTCTAACACTGGAACTGCCACTGAGTGGGGAAACAATTTATTTGAAGCATCAATTGCACCAAACAGAAAAGTAGCCATTGAAGCCAGTGTTTTGCAATGCAAGGAACATCTTTGCTCTCAATCCTAAATACAGTTAAATATTCTGAGAGAGAGCTCTTTGTGTCCCAAGAAGGGACACGTTTTGCCATGGCACTATTGCTATAGCACTTAAGTCTTAATTAGTTATATATCAGAATTCATAGATGGTTCCTAAAAAATTTTTACATGAAATTGCATATCAAGTGTTCAGTAAATCTGAAGATTGTGTGTGTGTGAGTCAAGTGCACTAGAAGAATCATAAATATACATCTTATAAGATATTATAAAATATTTGTGCTTTGTTTATCAGAAATGGAAAGCTGGTATTTTTCAATGTATTTCTTTGGATAGCAAGAGATTCCTAAGCTCTGAACTATTTCCTTTAAAATCACGTGTGACAGGGTTCATGCATTTCTCCTATTGTGTAGTAATGGGTGTACTGAAGTCATCTGCTTAGTTAATAGTCATATCTAACAAGCAGAAATACAATTTTTGCCTCTCCTTTTACTATAGGTGAGATTCAGAGGTCTTTGATGATCTAGGCTGGTACTTTGTTGCCCTGACAAGTGCTTTTCTACTGTGATAATGCTAAGGCTGTTGAGGATTGTGCAGTCTTCTTGATAGGCTCAGTGCCATTGTCCCTGCTCTGGTCTAGTTCCCAGTGTTTTATTTGCTTTGCTGGCAATTGCCAGTAGTGAGTGGGACAGATCAATTCCCCCTCATGGGTTCTCTCTGTAATCTCTCCTTGACAGATGTGTGGGACCACTGTGACATTTCCCACAGCCAGTGCAAGTTTTTAATGTTTTTCTGCATTTAATTCCAAAACCACCGTTAGCCTCTGCCTTATCTTTTCTTCTTCCTCCTCCCCCAATTTTTATGGCTCATTAGGTAGGGTAATGCTTCCCTCAGATACTGGTCCACAGGTCTCTGTGAAAACATTCCTGGTGTTAGATCTCTTTCAAATCACAAGTGGCCATTTAAAATTTCATCACTGACAACCAGTGAGGTTTCTTCCCTGAAGTTCAGGAGCAATTATTAATTATTAGTAGGCAAGATTCAGAAATTCCTAAGATGGATTCTTTGGCCTATGTTGTGTTAAAATATGTGAACTTTTGGATGATCTCTTTCGGGCCACTCATCCTTGTAGCTATTGCTTTTCTCTTGTCACTTGCTGCCTCTATGTATCTTCTTTCATCACAGCTGAACATATTATCATACAGGCACAATACTCTTGAATTTTTCTTTTGTTTTGACCTTTGCCATATATTTTTGAAAGGTCTACATTTCATCCACTAAATGGTGTCGCTTGCAGTGCTTAAATTATAACTATAGAAAAATGAAATAGAAGTAAGAAGTAAGAAGTGAGAGCTATTATGCTATTCTATGGAAGTTTATTTTATTAAACAAAAAGCATTTGAAGTCTGACATTTTCAACCTTTGAGCCTTTTCACTATATATATTTAATTGTGGCACCAAAAGCTTTTACATGCATTATTAAAAACTATACATCCAGGAAAAAAAGTGGTCCCTTATTTTCTGGTGTATTACATATGCATGTAAATTATTTTTGCCCAAGAGGATCTCTGTTGTGCCCCATCTTGCCCAGTCATTTTTCATTGAGGACATCATCAGACCTTTCTGAGAAAGATCCAGGGAAAGCCAGTTCCATGTGAAGGCCTCATCCTCATGGTCAGAGTTTCTTAGAGACTTGTTGTGAACCTGTGTTCAGTCTTGCCTGGTAGTGAGTTCTGTACTGTTCTGACTACATCTTTTTGCTGGCATTATTCTGTGTTCTTTGTGGTGAGGCAAGATGAATGATCACTCCTGTAAAGATGCACACAAGGCCTTAATGAAACATATTTTGGATGCTTGATATGGTGTTCCTTCTGCCCCCTTGAAATGCTCTTGTGCACCACTTCCTGAATGCATTCTCAGCTTGGAGTGCACCTTCCCTTCTTGAACTGTGAGAATGGCTGCAGTAGTCCATAAAATGTCAGTTTTGTTTCCATTTGATGTTTCCTTTAAAAGATGATGGTAATGAATGCACCTTTCCCTCCACTCTTGTATAATGGTCTTGTAACAGGTCAGTTAAAAATAAATTTCCAGGAGGAGCACACAGAGGGAGGTTTGTTAGTGATCTCTTTGTGTGACTCCACTTTATTCCAGATAACTGGAGCCTTCCAACTTACCTATATTAGATGTAATCACATCAGTGAGGGATGGGGCAACCAAAAGTCTTCAAATGTCTCACCTATTCCCAGCATTTTCAGAAGGTAACTTAGGACCTTGTGGCATTAGCTCGTAAGACATAACTGTTAAACGTTACTTTATAAATCCAAAACAAGTAGCCCATGCAGGGGAAAACTGTAACTTTCTATGTGCAAGCAACTGTTTATATGAATCTCCATAGCTTTGAAAAGCATATTTTTACTTAACAGGATGCTGCAAGACTTGAAGAGTTCTTACTCTGCAAGATAGATTCACTGAATATAAAATCGTAACTCTTAAAATAGATTTAAAGTCTGTACCATAGCTGCATATTTTGTTTACTATGATCATTTATCCCATTCTTTAGGTTTGAAGATGGCACAGTCTCTTTTCTTGATATCATTGCTCTGAAACATGGATTTGATGTTCTGGAAAAACTCACAGGTCAGTTAACATAACACTTAATACTGAAGACTGATGTTCCAGATTTATGCTCAGGGCCCTGGTCTGATCATATTTCTCATGACTGTAGCTTAATTTTCCTTTCTACTTTTACTATCTATGTTCATCATTGTGAAGATGAGACTTCAGTGTAACTGGTTTATTCATGTATTCCATATTGGAGTATTCCAGCCTGATTTGGAAAAAAAAGAAAAGTATCCAGACTGTTCTGGATCTGCAAGACTTCAGTCCAATGAGCACAAAGGTGCAATAGGAAAATAACACTAGAAAGTAGGTGAGTGGCTCACACTGTTCAAATGTCTTTGAAGCCCTTAACATGGAGCTAATGCTAAAGTCCCAAACTAAACCCTAAGCTGACCTTCAGGACAGAAGCTGTATGTGAAGGGTGACACTCATGTGCCTTGCTTACTCCAGGATATCCTGCTGCTTGTCTGGCTCAGCACCCAAATGCACAACCTCTCCAAGTTTGCTGCCGCGGGTCAATGATTCCTCTGAAAAGGGCAGGAGATGACACCTAGCCAGGGAAATTTGTAACACTGGCTGTGCAGCAGGCTTGCAACATGGCACATTTCCACATGTGGTGTGTGTGCCAGGTTAACAAAGCTCGTTCCTGAAATGGGTTTCATGCTCAGATATGTGCACACTTAATGTGTAATGTCTGAACTTCCCTTCTCCAGTGCAAGCTTCGATTTCCTATATAAAGGCATAAAGTGCATCATGATGTAAAAGAGGCCTGAGTCCAGAGAGACATTGAATATGTAATTTGCAGGTTAGTATAATTTCAGCCAGTGTCTGTGGATGTTTATTGTCATGATTTATCTGAAGGAATCTAGTTTCTTCTTCCTCACAGTGAAAGACTTCTGTGAGCAGTCTTCAGGTCTTGCTCATGTGGAAATAACAGCAGTTTTCATCCAGTTCAATAGGAGTCTGACTGAACCACAATAAGTAGGGATGTTTTTACTTTATGATGCTCTATGTGGAGACCAGGGATTAGAAACCAGCCTTTAGTATATATTCTTGTAGTATAGAATGCTTCCGAAAAATGTGCCATCTTAAACAAACATGCCCTTGTAAAGAGACCTTTGGTTTAACGTGTAGGAGCATTGCCTGCCATAAATGTGAGAGCTGATGACACCATCTCCTCTGTTGTATTTCTCATCCATTTAAACCTCCTATTGGTGCCTATTTCAGCTAAACAATCAAAAAATCTCTTTAATACTAGACTGAGGGGAACACTTAGCCCTGAACCTGAGTAAAGTGGATATTGGTGGATGACAGGGTAGAAGAAAGGCATAAATAAAGAGTATGTTGAGATCTTTCAATTGACAGAAATGTCAACATGGGTTTCAAAGTTTCATACTTATAATAATGTCATTAAAAATGAAAAAAATTAGGAATATTTCTATTTTAAGTTTAAAAATGTATTTATTTTCCACAACGCAAAAATGTAGAAAGATAAAAAAAGATGAGGAAAATATAGGCTGAAAGAGCAAACAAGAAACCTTTATGGGGCAGAAATTTGGAAAATTAAATTGAAAATTGTTTTGACAAATACTGGAATTTTAAAACTTCAGCACTGCTGGTATAGTCTAGGTACTTTTGGTGGTCAAATTCTGGAGTGCCACACTGAAAAGCAGAAATGCCAGCACTGTCTCTTTATAGCTACAAGAGGCCAGAGTGCCTTACAGGAATCTGTAGCAGAAGAAAAAAATTGAATTCTGTAAAGGATTTTAATTGCCACATGATTAAGGTGAAATTTCTGTAAAGTCAGGCTGGTCCTACACTGTTATCCATGACCCAACATGAATTAAGCTTTTGTTCTACATACATGGGAATTTCACCATCTTCACGCTAAAACTTATGTGATGCTATGTGTATGTGCATGTAAGTACAAAAATTTCCCTATGATGTGTTTTCATTAATTAGAATTTAATCATAGGAACAAGCCACACAAAGGTGATAGTAGAATGTGGCACAGCTATGGTCATGTTTTAGTTTTTCCATCATAAAATGCCTTTTGTGCGCCCACCTTTCAAAGCTTATGTGAAGGGTGACTGCCTTACTGCAGCTTTCTGAGCTCTGTTATGTCTCTGTTGACCCTTCTGTGCTGACTGTGAGACCAATGCTGTGGGGGCCCTGCTGTGCAGCACCACAGCCTACAAAGCAGTATGTACTGTCTAGAGCAGTTTGTATACCTTTCCAAATATTTAGCTCTTCAGTTTGTATAGGCATTGAATATATCTGTGCCTGGCACGACTGAAGCAACAAGAGGTTCAGGGCTTTGCAGTTGCCATTTTCCTCTCACCATCCTCTTCTCCCCTGAACATCATTGAAGTTTGAACAACATTGGAGTTTTGCAGGTTATTTAATTTCTGTCTAAGGCCCACAATTCCTTTTGAACAGAGATTATTAGCGTTTGTGTGTATACAACAAAGCCTTTGCATGCTGTAGATATACTTCATAATCCAGACGGACCGCAGATTTGTTTTAAGCCTCCTTGTGCATATTTTTTCCACTTCAACTGTCAGAGTTTTTGGTGGCAAATTGCACTGTCAAATGTGAATCACTTCTGAATCTCACTTTGCTGTAGCTCCTGGAGTACTTGCTTTGCACTCCCCCCAGCACAAACAATGATTCTCATTCTAGGTTGGAAATAGCCTGGAATAGAAACAAGCAAAATGAACACAGCATTGTTGTTATTAATTGTGTTCTTATGGGTATTAACAGCACTGCAGAAGAGCTTTAGGGATGTGCTGTAGCTGGATTATACCAGTGTAATTACTGAAGATGGGGAGGGAGATCACTAATGGGAGGTCATTCATTGTTTTGGTGTTAGGCAGTGTTGTGAAACACACATATCTGTTTCTCAGTCTGATATGATCTGACTGAATCCTTGACCTGTCTCAACTTCCATTTAACAACAAGGCATATTTCATGCCAGTGTTGCGTCATGATGTGTATGTATTTAAACCATATTCAGAGGTCTTGGATCTATATGATTTTTAAACTTAACTTTAGACGGCATGTATTTTTATTAGTAAAACTTCATACATTTTAATAATGAAGTTTAAGGCACATCATTTGCACCTTATTGTTATAAGGTGTCCTTTAATTATAATGTCTGTTCAGGAAACATTAATTCTCTTCAGAAGAAAATATAATATTTATTTGAAGAAATTTTAAAATGCAGGCGAAATCTCCTAAGTATGGTGAATTGAAAGTAATTTTAAAATTTACCAGATGCCTGTTTGGTTGTTGGAGAGTAAAGGTTGTGTTGGCTTTCATAAAGGTAATTATGTCACACAACAGCCAAAGCAAAATACAGTGCACAACATTAAATGGTGAGGCTGACTTTGTTTTTGAACTTACTCTTTGAAACTTTTGGTGTGTTTTGCCCTGTAATAATTGATACCATCCTCTGGTACATCAAGGACTGGTTGCAGTCAGTGATGGGATGTTTTGCAGCTTGCTTTTATTGATAGTGCACAGATTCTCATGTGTGTTGTGTTTAAACAGTCAGGGTTATACAAGCCATCCACCTTAGTGGCCAGAAAAAAAAAGTTCTCCTAAATCAGGCTGACAGGGATTACTGGGATTTCTTCTTTGTGGAGTTTGTAACTTCATTTTACCATTGTCAGGGCATGTCTCCTAAACTTAGGCCATGGGTGTGATGCTTGTGTGTTTTACTGCTTTCGTTCTTGGTGCTGCTTTCATTCATAATTTTAATGGATTTGGTTGTTTTCTTTTAAAAATCATAAGATTAAAGACATCATTAATACTTATGTTCTGGCATGTGATGTAAGGGTGTGTTGGAAGTAGATGCTCCGTTTAGGCCGATGTTTTAGAAATTCTTAATTTTGTGAGGGAAAATCTTCCCGTAGTTTGAGAGAATGAATCATTGATGAAACTTTTACCTTCTCTATGTCAACCATTTGCCACAAGATATACATGAGAGTAAAAGAAACCTGGGCAATACTAATTGTACTAATATCCTCACCTTAGTGCTCATAATTAACACCTCTAACTGTACTTGAGATTATATGTTGTTGGGGAGTGGCGTTCTAAGAAAAAGTGTTTGATGAGTTTACAGCAGGGAGAAGATGCTCCACCGACATTCTTAATAGGAAAATACGGATACACTAAAGGCATTTTTATTTCTGGCATCAGAAAGATAAGTTTGACTTCTAAATGTGGAGTGCATAAAAGCTTCACATCCAAAGGTATTCTGATTCCCAGATAATGACACTACTGGTATGTCAAAAGACAAAATTCCCTTCTCTCCTTTCATCAATAGTGAGGGGACTGTTTCTGGTTTTAAATTTCTGTGCCAAGATGAACTTGGTACAGAGAACAAACTAGGAAGTTATTTACTTGTTGCTAACAGCTCTTGCCACTAGCATGTTATGGCAGTCTAGGTTTTCCTAGCTTTCTTTTGTGACTTGACTAATTCAACTAGACATCATTTGTACCCTTGAAAGCAGAGCGGAACAGCTAAACCACGATTTGAGAAGCTTTGAAAAAGTGAGTCCCCGGAAAAAATCCTTGCCAAGGCTGCCTTTACAGAGTTTAATCTGTATATGAGGTTTGTCTCTGAAAATTGCTTTCATGTTTTACGGTTTTTAAAATTCATCTGCTAATATTGGTGTGGATTGCACTCGCCAACTGCCTAATCTGTGAAGAGGCCCAGAAAAGGACCAAAAATGTAATTCCTCAGACCTGTAGAGATGACACAGGAAGATGTAGTACTGCACATTAAGGGTTTGGGTATTTTTTGCATACAGTACAGCTAGAGAGAAAATATGCTTCTCAGCAACTAAAAGAAGGGCAAGATGTTTTTATTATAAGCTGAGCTAATGAAGAAAAAGTGTGGCACAGCTGACAAAATATACAGTTGGCAAGGGGTAATTGCTCTGTGTTCAGACAAAATACTCAACAAGACTTCTGTGGTGAAGGCATTTGATGGCATCCAGTGTTATTATAGA